ATAGATAGATAGATAGATAGATAGATAGATAGATAGATAGATAGATATAGATCACATGATCATGGGGATACTGCAAAGGTCATAACTGTTTAAAATGATTTTAACTCACTTTTTTCCTTGCCATCGTAATTTTGAACGGTCACTAAATGAACTAAGTCTAAGACTAGCCTTAGCAATAGCCCTTAGACTTATCTATAACACTTCCCAATGCTTTTACAGCCCTCTCTAAGCGGTTTACAGAGTCAGCCTCTTGCCCCCAACAATCTGGCTCCTCGTTTGACTGACCTCGGAAGGGCGGAAGGCGAGATTCGAACTGCCCTACTGCTGGCAATCCGCAGAAGTAGCCTGCGGTACTGCCCTCTAACCACTGCGCCACCACGGCTCTCGTACTTACAACCTACTCATCCAATGCGAATCTCTCAGCCCCGTCTTTTAATTCCCGGCCGCCTCAACAGGTTGGTTGTCCTTAGCGATGGTTGACTTGGCCTCTTGAGCTGGGAATGCAATGGCCGATAAGCATGTCTTCTCTTCATATGTCAGGTGGCCACCTTGGATCTTCTCCAACCTTCACAGAGTTATCCTCTTACGGATGGTCTTGATACTTTCTCCAGCCTGTTGTCCGGCCCTTAAGATCGGTCTGGTGGGACCTTGGTCCTTCGACTCCTTCTTCTCCAACGCCCTGCCTGAAGTTGCCACTCAACTAGCGGTGGAGAGGATCAAGAAGGATCCTTCCCTTGCCGCGGTCCCTCCCTTGGATTACGTATTGTTGGAAGAAGATCTCCAGACTTGGAAAGCAATGGCTCGCTTCGTTGAGTCCTCCAAGAACAGGTCGGCCTTCGTAGGACCGTTGAACCCTAGTTATTGTGAGGCCGCCTCTTTGCTAGCCCAAGGTTGGAACCAACCCATGTTATCTTGGGCCTGTCTAAACGATGACCTGGACAAACCAAGGAACCAACCGTGGTTGATCAGAACTTTGCCATCTGCGGCTACCATCCTCCTCACCGTGTTGAGATATTTCAACTGGGCTCATGTGGGCATCGTCTCTTCTAAAGGGGGATTTTGGGTGGACGTAGCCCACAAGCTGGCTAGCGTTCTCAGAAGCCGTGGGCTACCTGTGGCTCTTGTTACCTCCACCGGGACGGAAGCAGAAAAAGTAGAAGAGGCTTGGACCAAGGTAGAAGCTGCTGGAAACATCAAAGGTAAGCGGAGAAGTGACCTGGGTGGGAAGTTAGCGGAATGGAGGTTGATCAGGACCCACCAATATCTCACTAATGTCTTGGAAAAAAAACCTCTCAAGATTCAACGGAAGCAAATATTTGGAACCCAGGGTCCTTGGGGGTCTCTGAGCTTGGTAGTTTTCTTCTGGACGTTTAATTACCCAACTAGGTAGCATCATCAGTGCTAAAAGGGAGTGGGGGTTGCTCTCTGCTTATATACTGATGGCTTGCCCTGTTAGTGCGGGTGGAAGTGATCTTGGTCTTCCTCCCTCCTTTCCTCCCTCCCTTCCTCTCCTTCTATTTCCTTCCTTCCTTCTTCCTCTTCCTCTTCTTTTTCCCTTTCGCCATCTCTTTTCCTTCCTTCCTTCCTCCTATTTCTCTCCTCCCCCTCCTGTTTCCTTCCTTCCTTCTTTCTCTTCCTCTACTTTTTACCCTTTCCCATCTCTTTTCCTTCCTTCCTTCCTTCCTTCCTTCCTTCCTTCCTTCCTTCCTTCCTTCCTTCTTTCCTTCCTTCCTCCTATTTCTCTCCTCCCCCTCCTGTTTCCTTCCTTCCTTCTTTCTCTTCCTCTACT